GAACTTAATAAATCCCAGTTGATGAAAACCTTTTCAGATGGTACTAAGCTAGCTGGTATTATTGTTACTACTACTATAGTTATTATTATTACTATTATTTACTATTGTTATTATAATATCTTGTCTTTAGTGGTTCAAATTATTTGTTTTTTTCATTAGGAATTTGAGTATTTGAATTACATTGAAGTTTTATTTGAATAAATGAATAATTTGAATTAAAATAAGAATTTGCATTATGAATAGAAAATCTATGACTTTTATCCTGCTATGATGTATTTTATTTTGCTTTTTGAGTGAATGTATGTTTTTTTTGTTATTCTAAGTAATGTAGGTGGATCCATCTAAATTAAATGTCTATGCCATTGAATTCTGTGCTGAAATTTCAGATGTAAAAATGGAATGTCAAGAGAAAATTTTTTTGGCTGGCTAAGTTGTTTAAAAATTCCTTAGCTGGCTAACATCACTAACCCTAATTACTATTCAACAATTTAATTATGAATCTGCACAAATTTGCGATTTAATTCTGTCTGAATAACTTTTAAAATGCAATATAGTAATAGTCTTTTAAATGTGAATCTACATTAATTTCTACTAAATAACTAATTACGATGTTATACAAATAAATAATAATAACAAGAACTGTCCCAAGACCAGAATGTTTACTAAGAATTGACATATAAAAAACAATTACATTCCAAATAGCATTCATTGTGTTGTGAACAATTATTTGTTTGAGTAGAGGAATAAGAACAGGCATGAATTTGATAATGTAAAAATAAATGTTGGTTTGATTCATGTTGTCAACAATCACTTCACTAACAGTTGTTTCATTAACAAATGGTTCGAATTTAAGAGTTGGAAGTAACCATGCAAACCTTTGAAATAGTCTAATAAATTAAATTGTACTACTTGAAAATGTATTTAAAGGTTGGTTTTTGACTTGGTTGAAGAATAACTCTCTTCCTAACTCTTCTCTTGACCATATCTCTTGATATAATCAAAATAACCTTAATATAACGAATGTCAAATGAAATGATTGTAAACACAACAAATTTAAGATACATGATTGTGACGAAAATTGAACAATGTATGAAAAATCAAACAAATTTATTTAATAAAAACAAAATTTACAACCCATAAAATATTTTTGTTCTAATAAAATTTCCATTGTTGCTGTCATCTGTTTCTGATTCAACATTGCCCGGATCATCATCAACTGTATTTTCGTTATTTTCAACAAATTCATTTTCATTTAATATTTTTCATCATACTTTCTTTTAGTGTTGACATTTTTTTTGATTTTGACTTGAAGATATCAAACATTTAGATTGATATCTTTATAGACAATGATTGTGATAACCATGTCCACATGTGAGTATATACACTACAATTATTCAAATTAGTATAGTTAGTGTAATCACATTATATGTAATTGCAAAAAATGTTTGTAGATGGTTCCTAGAAGTAACAAAGTTTTAGTAATTAAAGGATACTGATTGTCTCTGGACGTGAATCTATGATAATCGTCAACATTCAACAAGAATGTATTTTTGAATATTTTGTAAGTGCATTCTACATATTTCTCATGTTCATCTGCAACTTGCTTCTTTTTATGGTCTACTGCTCTTGATGTTGTAGTTACTCCAAGACTTGTATCTACCGAGTCTAGATAGAATGCAAGGTCGAACTTAAAAGAGTTGATTTTTGTATTATTTAAAACAAGAAGATAACACATGAACACCACCATTAATCTCTTCATATGGTCTATTACGTTCAAATGGCCAAGCTTCTAAATAGAGTTGGTCAAAAAACCTCTTCAAGCTTGGTTCTATTTCTTGGAGCAATCTTCGTATTTCATCAAAATTGTTTATAGGACCTTGATGGCTCTAGTGAAATCAATCTTTTCACTTACCTCTTCCTCTTCCTCTTCCCCTTCCGCATCTGTGGTTTTTACTCTCCTAGGTTCTCTTTTTAAAAGATTTTCTACAAAATTCATATAACGAATGTTACATAAAACAACACGTTACTTTCACTAAGTTGTTGTTCTCAGCTACTTTACATTTATTGCCTTTCAGTGGTTTTACATTCTGTGCAACGTTTAATTTCAGGCAATTTTTCCTTGAGTAAATCGTGTTATGAAAGTTGTGGGATTCAAAGGGATTCAAAAGATATGATAACAACTAAGTGTAAAACTTCAAGTTTACACATGATTTATTGCAAGAATGGGCTACATGATACCCTTGTAAAAGTATTTTAAACTGTATAAAAAAAATTGAAATCAATTGTGAAAATCCATTCCTTATATAGGACGGTCTCTCCTGTTCGGTAATCTCAATTATAATAATAATAATTATAACGATAATAATCTCAACTATAATAATAATAATAATTATAATTATAACGACAATAATCTCAATTATAATAACGATTATAATTATGAGAATCAAATTAGAGGTGATGTATTGGAAATTCCATCATCCAACGACGTAAATCACTTTACGGATCCGCGATTCAGATAAAAACTTTGTGCTTTGCACAAAGAATCATTCAAGTTTATTTATCTATTTAATAGTATATAAATATATATATATATAATCTGTAATTTTTAACAAATATTTAATAAATGTATTTGTTCCAATATAAAACCTTTGCTAAACAAAGGTGATGGATGATAGAAAGTTTGATTTGATTGATTGTGAATAAAATTTTGGAGTGATGGTTTTAACGTTAGCGTTAAAACCATATTCTTAATGTCTCCATAAAAAAATATTCAGCAAAGGATCTCAATAACATTTTGAAATACTCGGACATATACACACACACATACTGAATATTTTATCCCAATATGAAGTTACACGAGCATCAAAATATTTTTGTAAAACAAGTCATATAACTTGTTATTTTTAGAATTGTATCTATTATCATTAAAAAAAAAAAACATTCTTTAAATCTTTTAGATCTGTTTCCAAATTTTTAGATCTAAATCATTTTATTTCATTCATTTATTCTTTTCACATTAATTTTTGTTGCTAAAATAACTTTATAGATTAAATAGAAATCAATCTATTAGAGCTAGTAGTAGTATTTTTTGTTTTTTTTTTGCTATAAACTAGAAAAATCAAATAATAAAGATGTCGAGTAACATGCGCGGTTTGACTGTATTCATTGCAGACATAAGAAATTGTATCCTAAAATACTTGTAATAATGATATCTTGATTAGAAAATTACCTTTTTCTATTATCTTTTAACTTTTTTTTTTGCAATATTTCAGGCAGATCAAGGGAACTGGAAGAAAAACGTATTAACAAAGAAATGGCAAATATTAGATCAAAATTTAAAGGTTTCATTCCTTTAAATAAATTTTCTTTTCAATCCTGAATTTAAATTAACCATCGACATTAATTATTCTTAATAATGCATATATTCAAGATGGAAATCTTAATGGGTATCAAAAAAAGAAATATGTATGCAAACTTTTGTATATGTATATTCTTGGATGGGATATTGATTTTGGGCATATGGAGGCAGTGAATTTAATATCCAGTAATAAATATAGTGAAAAACAAATAGTTAGTTTTTATCTTTTTTTTTTAATTTTACATAACTATTAATTGTTCATGATGATTGATTACGTTTAATTTATTATGGTGATATACGCTACATAAGGGGTACTTGGGCGTGACACTTTTAATGCATGAAAATAGTGATTTGACATACCTTATTATCAATTCAATTCGTAAAGATCTTGCTGAGGTCAATGAAATATACAATTGTCTTGCTTTACATGCTATCGCTAACATTGGTGGTAGGGAGATGGCTGAAACTTTAACACCAGATGTTCATAGACTTTTATTATCCCAGTAAGAATTTTTTTAGAATTATAAATCAAATTTAAAACCATTTTCTAATGTAATCATGTTTTTGATTTTTTATTATAGTGATTCCAAAAGTTTTGCAAAAAAGAAAGCTGCATTAACACTTTTACGTCTATATAGGAAACATCCAGATGTAATTCCTGCTGTGGATTGGGCTGAAAGGATAATTATATTAATGAATCAAGAAGATTTGGTATATATGCATGGAATTTTTTTTTAAAATAAAGATATAGAGTCATATATATATTAAACTGGCAATTCTATTGTTATTAATAGATAATTTATATTATACAATTTGATAACAAAAATTTAGGGTGTTAGTTTATGTGTTACTAGTTTAGTGATGGCATTAGCACAAGACAATTTGGATGCTTATCAAAGTTGTTATGCAAAAGCTGTAGATCGTCTATCAAGGGTTTGTATTTCGTTAATTGGTCAGTAGCTTGGGATTAACGGCTATTCTAAAAAATTGTTTGCGTTAACTTTTTATCATTTAATTATTTATAGATTATTGTCAAGAAAGAATACACACTAGATTATGTTTATTATAAAGTTCCAGTTCCATGGTTACAAGTTAAACTTCTTAGGCTGTTGCAATATTATCCAGCTTCGGGTATTTTTATACAATTTATTTGATATGGGTTTTGTTTTATGTAGCTTAACCAATTTTTTTTAAATTCAAAAAAAAAATATTTTTTTTTGTATTGTAGACGACCTTGAAGTTCGAATCAAATTACATAATGTTTTACAAACAATTCTTAATAATTCACAAGATACACCAAAGAATGTTCAGCATAGTAATGCACAAAATTCTGTCTTGTTTGAAGCCATCAATCTAGCAATCCATTTGGACACCGAGTCCCAAATTGTCAATCAAGCTGTAATACTTTTAGGCCGATTTATAACATCTAAAGAAACAAATCTTAGATATCTTGGTCTAGAAACAATGGCACATTTGGCTGCATGTGTTGATTCATTGGAACCAATTAAACGACATCAGGACACTATCCTATCATCACTACGAGATAAGGATATAAGCGTTAGACGAAGAGGTTTAGATTTATTGTATAGTATGTGTGATGTAACGAACGCTAAAATCATTGTTGCCGAGCTATTGAAATTCCTTAATGCTGCTGATTATGCTCTAAGAGAAGAAATGGTTCTTAAAATAGCCATATTAACTGAAAGATTTGCAACAGAATATCAATGGTATGTAAATGTCATTTTGCAACTTATTAGTACTGCGGGAGACCATGTTGGCAATGAGGTTTGGTATCGTGTAATACAAATAGTTACAAACAACGAAGAACTTCAAGAATATGCGGCTAAAACAATCTTAGTTTATTTGAAATCTCCAAATTGTCACGAAATATTAGTCAAAGTTGGTGGATATATCCTCGGTGAATTTGGTCATCTAATTGCTAGTATTCCTGGTGCAAGTCCAATAGAACAATTTCATGCTATCCATACCAAATTTTCACTGTGCACCCTCAAAACAAGAGCTTTACTGATGACAACTTATTTAAAGTTCACTAATCTTTTTCCAGAGATTAAGGGTGAAATATTAACAGTATTTCATCAATACTGTCATGTTCTAGATTCTGAACTACAACAACGCGCGTCAGAATATTTAACAATTGCTACAATGCCAACTAACGATCTTCTACAAACCATATGCGAGGAAATGCCACCATTCCCTGAAAGAGAGTCAGCATTATTATCAAGGTTACATCAACAACATGCACATACAGAAGACAAAAGGACTTGGAGTATTCTCATTAAGGATACAGCTAAAGATAAACTATCGCTTAAGAGCAGTTTTGGTAGTAGCAGTAATAGCAGTAATAATAATAACAACACAAATGATAGAAAGAAAAGTAAAGAATTTACTAATGGGAATTTTGATAAACCAGAGGAACTTTTACTAATAACAGGTCTTGAAGGATTAGATTTTTCTGAATCGTCAAAATCAACTTTATCTCAATCACCAACAAATACTGAACTCATAACGAATGATGTTGGAAAATGGTTTAGTAAATTATTATATAGTTCAGAAGGCGTTCTCCATGAAAATTCTTTACTACAAATTAATTGGAAATCCGAGTATCAAACACATCTTGGTAAACTTGGGATATATTTTAGAAATAAAACAAATTCAAATATAACTTCGTTCATCATATCAATTGATCATATTGAGGATCTCGTAATAAATTCCCCTCATCCGCCAAGAACAACCATAGAGCCAAATACTCAAATTCAACATCATCTCTACGTAGAATGTCAAAATATTTTTCTTGGTATACCAAACATTAGGGTGTCTTTTTTCCAGTCAGACGTATTAAATAATTTAGTTTTAAAATTGCCTATTGTATTAACAAAATTCATGGAACCTATTCAACTCAATAGTCAAGAATTTTTTGCGAGATGGAAACAAATTGGTAGTGGTGGTGGTAGTAATAGTAATGGTGTTGGTGGAAGTAGCAATGATGGTGGTAATAATGCAAATTTAGAAAGACAGGTTGTTTTTAAATCAAATGTACCAATAAATTGTCAAAAAATCCGGGATCTAATTTCAGGATTTAGATTTGGTGTATTAGAAAACATAGATCCTAATCCCAATAACATAGTAGGCGCTAGTTTATTGAACACTTCAAAAGGTGGTTTGATTGGATGCTTGCTTAGATTGGAACCTAATCTTGATGCGCAGGTAATTGATTATTCTGTTTATTTTCGCTTTGCTGTTAAAATAGTATTTTTGATTGATTATTGTTATTTTATCTTTTATACATATTTCAAATAGATGTTTCGTTTAACCATTCGTACAACAAATAAAATAGTTACTAACGAACTTTATACGTTGTTGGAACCAAAAATTGCCAGCGAAGGTTTGTAATAGTCACATTAATAATAATAGCAGTGATAGTGGTAGTAAGTGGTATATAATATAGAACTTTTATCGTTATTTATTTATTATTTGTATAGAAATAATTTATTGTATTTATTTAATAAAAAAATCAAACATAATTTATAACATCTTGTGCCATTTGAATAATATTTTAATTATTCTTTTAAAATGCCCTCAAACTAAAAATTGATAAATGTAAAAAGAAAAATTAATAATTAAGCAAATAACGTTAAACATAGCCTAGGTTTCTTCATTAAAAAAAAACAAAAAAGACTACAATTACCTAATCAAAAGGTAATCGTTTTATGGTTCCTTCTTTTAGATTCATTTGATTGGCACCGATAGCGCTAGGAATTCTAATACCACAACAATCAGGAAATTCTTGACCAAAAGCATGAATGTGATCATGACCATGATCATCATTATCACCAGGTTCAAGATTTTGTGAAGCACTTCCTTCAAAATGTATCAGTGAGCCAAACATAAAATGTTGCATTATTGGTAACTTTCCAAGAACTTCACATTTATACATTTTGATCATTCCTTCATTGACTTTTTTCCATTCACGTACTCCTAATGAATATTAAAAATAATATTAAAAAAAGTGCCGGAAAAAAAAATAAACCCTCCTCAAATAAACAAACTATTGAGGTTGTGAATTAAAAAATGAGATTAATCGCCTGATATATCATCCAACATTGGTGAATTCCATTTAAGTGACGCAGTTTTAACCTTGTAAATTTTGATGGAATGATTTAAAATCGTGTTTATATATAAATAAATATATAAATATATATATATATATATATATAGAAGAATTTTGTTTTTTACCGAATTGATGAATTTTACACAGGCCAAATACATATAATCTTTTGAATATTCATTAACAATATCAACATCATGAATTGACTTTGGTTTAATATGTTTATGATCTGTATATATATATATATATATATATATATATATAATTAAATATTAAATAATCAAGTTTTAAAAAAATAAAACCCTTCTCAAAAGAATTCATTCAATGATTTCATACCAAACAATTGAGCAGAACCAAACATAAAAGGTAAGAAATGGTAATCATCTAAACCCCAGACTCCATGTGATCCTGCTGGTTCAAGCCAATATGTAATTTGTAAATTTCTCATCACTTCAATGTATCTTTTTGTTAAATAAATATAATTTCAATTATTTAAAATAATTTTTATAATTAAACTGTAGTAGTAGTAGTAGTAATAATAATAATAATAGTAAATAATCACTTTTGAAATACTTTTAAAATCACTGCAACATAATCATCGGGACCAATTTTTCCTAATTTTTCAAAACATAATCTAATTGATTCCAATTAAAATCATAAATCATTATTCTAGAATCGTATAAAGTAACATAAAAACAAATATATATAAATAAATATACATGTTAAATATAACTTACAACCATGCGATAAAGTTTGCTTCATGTCCTGTACCATAATCTAATCTATTGCGATTACCCCAACTTTCTACAAAATATCCCGAAACTTCTGGTATGGCTGAAGGAGGTATTGATAAATTTTCATGTAATTCTGCAACATTCTAATCAATATTTACAAATACCATAAATAGTTCATATAACACGATACATTAATTAACAAACCATCAAGATAACAAAAGAATCATCCATACATTTGAAATTTGATCATAGAAATTTTTGAATGCTGGATTTCCAAAACGACTCTTTTCATTTTGTACTGGTGGAATTTTATTGCAATATGAATTTACAGTATCCAAAATTTCAAGCACATTTGACAAAAACTATTCAATCAAATAGAACATTAACATGTGAATCCAAAGAAAAAAAAACATTTGTTATATAAAGTATTTTATATTTTTTTTACCACTGAAACAACACAATCATCGCTAAGCTTCAAGCCTTTAACTGAATCATTTAGCCGTATTACAAAAGAAATATAATCCTCATGGGCTTGGGATTCTTTGAATTTTTCAAGATCATCTTTTGTAAGTATTTGTCGTTTCGGAACAATGAAATTTGCAGCCATTTCTTAAATAATAAAAAAAAATGGAAAATTCTTGTATATATTCACGTTATGCATGTTGTTGCATGTTTGCTATCCTTTTTTGTCAAGAAATTAAAATTTAAATTAATTTAAATAGGCCATATTAATTAATTTATACTACTTGTGTATAATATTTATTTACACTGTTTAGTAAAGTATGACAAAAAAAGAAAAAAAGCCTTTAGAAATATCTAAAGCCTTAAAGAAATGGTTTGATCCACGAGTTGTTACAAAGTTACAAAGAGGTTTAACCCTTGAACAGGCTTGGGAAGATGTCGTTAAAGACATTTCTGTAAAAATATTATCTGGACTTCCCTTGGAGAAATTTGCTAATGCGATGTCACGTTTGGCTCAGATTGATGACTCGAGTAGATTTCATTTAATTGAAAATTTACTTGCAATAACACCAAACCCTGATAATGCAGACAGTGAAACAACTGAAAAGTTACAAAATGTTTTACTTTTAAAACTTTCGTCAGCTGATAATGGAACGGAAGAAGCCACTTCAATGGAAATTGATTTAGATTTTACGAATATAGCTAAAAATATTTTACAGGATTCTCATAGAGATTGGATAGGTATTTATGAGGTAATTTCAAAATTCCTAAAGGGTTGTACAGCAAATTTTAATTCAGACAAGAACATATTTATAGTATATCCACACTTGGATGAAATTTCAAGGTTGTTTTTTATAGAAAAAGAACAGAGAACAAGTCTTGAATATTTTTTCAATTGTGTCCAAACTGTTGCTAATAATATGGGATTTAAATTTAAAGACCTTATAAAGCTTCATATTTTGGATAATGACAAGGAGTTTTTTAAATCATTTGCAGAAAACTTTTTCCCTAAAGTGTTAAAACTAAATGCTGAAGATGATCCAACCAAAATACATTTGACTCCACCATTAATTAGACCCAAATGGCACAATCAATCACATTTATTGATGATAGTTTTACAAAATGCACCTAATTATAGTATGTTACGTAAAGATCTAATTGATGCAGCATTATATTTAGACAAAGAAATATGCAATAAAACAGGGTTACCAAGATGTTTTACTGGTCGTGTATGTATTTAACATTTTATTTTATTTATCACTATTTTGCTTATAATATTAAGGAATGATTATTATTGACATTATATTTTAACAGACACCAGAAAATTCGGCTAGTTCATGTATAACACATGTTGCAGAAAAGTATTTTATACCGTTCAAGAAAAGTCCTGACTCAAAAACTCATTATAAACTTTCATTTACTCCAAATGACTTTGATGAATTCTATGAACAATATGTCAGGTGGACAAAACGATTAACAGAACATGATTGGCCATTGCTATTTGGAAAATTAAAAGGTGTTCTTGTTGTTTATTGTTTCATATGATGAATAATATCATGATAATAATAAATTGGTTAATTTCTTTATCATCATCATTTTAATTGTTAGATAATGCACCTTCAGATGAAAAAATTTTTATGCTTTCAGTGGGTATAGATACAAACGATAATAATACTTGTATACGATGTGTAGAAAAAAAAGATTGTGATTCAAAGTTTCCTTCGTGTTCTAGATGTAAAGAAAAAGGATTATTGTGCGTTTACGCATTAACCAAAAGAAAAAAAACATTAAAAGAAAAATTAAAATTTTCATCGGTCACAACAAAAGACAATATCTATAATAAAAATAATAATGGATACATAATAAATAGTAGTAGCATGACAGTGCAATCAGAAACAATGTCTTATATACAAACAGAAGAAATTAGTGGATGGTTTGATCTTAGCACTGTTCCAAAAGGAATCGAGGAGATTGTAGAGGTCAGGCCATCTACGATTCCCAATGCAGGTAATGGATTATTTGCTAAACAAGACATTCCAAATACAACGCCATTAGGATTTTTCTTTGGTGTTCCAATGCTTGAAGAAGAATTTGAATTACATAAAGACAGTATTGGAATGGCAGCAGATTATTCCATGAGATATAAACACACAATACTAGATGCAACAGATAAAGATGGAATGCCTTACACTGATCCAAAAGGAAAAGCTTATTGTCCATTTCACTTCATGAATGAAAATCTATCTGGAAATACGGTATTTCTAGAAGGTCATGAAATTAATCAGGTCGTATGTTGGACAAATCACGATATTAAAGCAGGAGAGGAATTATTTGTTTATTATGGTGCAGAAGTCGATAGACAAAATTGGATGTTACAAGATAAACAAGAAAATAACGGCAATGATGATTCTGACGAGGTATCTAATTCTTATGAATTAATTGATTCATCAATCAATAAAGATTACAATAAACAGTCAAATTCAAATTCAAAAAGAAAGGGCAAAGGAGAATTATCACAGAAGAATAAAGTAATAAAAATAAAAATAAAACACCAAAGTTAAGGCAGAAATTAAAATAATATTGCTATTACTAAATTAAATTTAGAGTTGCTATGATTGATTTTTTTTTTTAAAAATAACTTTTCCCTCTCTTTGATTCGTGTAGAAAGAAAGCACAAAAAAAAGGTGCTGTTTTAAACACTCACAAAAATCATTTTGGCATTTCTTTTATTATTTCTTTTTACGGTTTGTTAATTAATGGAAGGATTATATTTAATATTTGCGGCCAAAAATTGGCAGACTTGTCTTATAACGTGATGCAAATACTTGGTCATCACAATAACTTGGCGAATTATCGAGTGTTAAATTTGGTATAAACCATGGATTTATTCGTCTAGAACATACCCACTCCGAGCCGATGATGTCAGCAACAATTCGTTTTCTAGTCTTTGCATTTTTCTCTTTTTTTCCTCAAATTAACATTTTATATCTTGCTTTGATGAATAATGCATAAGTTGGTTAACGTTGCAAACAGTTCCTCAAATACAAGTGTTCTAGCTATAATGGTTTCTGTCCTCTCTAAAAGAGACGTGTCAGAGAAAATAATGTTCCGTCGCCAAACTAAACAACCAATCATATTAATATTAATGCGACTCAATTTTCCAAACAAAATAGTTCGGCACAAATGGTTGTGATGTTTTATTGATAATAGTTATATTGGTAACAATTAGATTGATTATGAATTATATTGTGGTATTATAGCAAACGATAGTTTAGAGTTTTTCTTCGATGATGAAGATTAAAATATCGATTTCATCAATATCTTACATAATAATTTTATTTTAACGTTTAACCCTATTGAAAAAAATTCAATTTGTTAAATTGTAAATTTTTTTTTAAGTTAAAAAAATAAACATCACATATATTGATATGTGTATATACACACCATGTATAACTCTTTCTAGCCTTTGCTTTACCGGGCTTCTTTCTTTCAACTGATCTCCTATCTCTTGTTACAAGTTTTGCTTCAAAATAAAAAATAACAATCAAATAATCAATTAAGAAAGAAAGAAAGAAAGAAAGAAAGAAAGAAAAAAGATCAATTAATGTTTATCATTCCTAACCTTTTCTTAATATTGGTTTAAGTGAAGGATCATGAACTAATAAAGATTTGGTAATACCGTGAGCAATTGCTTCAGATTGACCTTTTTTAATATTTAAGTTAATTATTTCTCTAATAATAAATAAAATCTGTTAAAAATATTTACTAATATTAGGTACCTGTATGACCTCCACCTCGTACAACAGCCCAAACATTATATTTACCAATTAGATCAGTCACTTTGAAAGGAAACAAGATTGAATTTCTATCTTTTAATAGTTGAAAATAATTTGTCATTGGAACACCATTAACATAAACCAGACCATCTCCTTTTATCAACCAAATTTTAGCGCTAGATGTTTTTCTTTTACCAACAGAAAAACTTCTTCCCCATAAATCAAGTTTATTTTTCTTCTCTATCACTAATTTTTTTTCTTTTTCAAAATCATGTCTTTTGAATAGACTTAAAAATTCCTTTAGACTTGTTATATTATTAATTGTTGAAATTTTGTCCAACTCATTTAATTTTTTAATTATGGTACGATATTCGTTTATCTTCAAATCTAAATCTAAATCTGAATTAAATTGATCCTTTATTTTCCACAAACTTGTTTCCTCGCCACCAACTACTATATCATTGTTATTTCCATCCTTTTGCTTTCCCACTACTTCTCCAATTATTCCAACATTATCATTAACATCAACAACAACATCATTATTATTAACAATAGGTTTTTTTGATAGTCTATTGTATTTTAAAATCAGATCATCTAATCTTATCATAAGATCATAATATTTTGGTTTTGCTGTAAAATATGAAATTGAAGTTGGTTTCTCTTTGGGCAAAAGGAATTGAATGGCTTCATTGTTTATTAAATTTAAGTCTTGATTATTTTTATCTGATGTTGAAAATTGTTTTAAATTTATAAAATTACTATTTTTATTGTAATTGTTATTAATAAATACTGAATAATTATTAAGTTTTAAAAAATCAATTTGAAAACTTTTTTTTAAGAAAAAATGATTTTTTAAACTTTTCATGGTTAATCTTTTGTAAAAAAAAAAATGATCTACAGAACTTTATACTTGAAAGTATCTTGGAATCATTACATACAGAAGCCCTAATTAATAAAATTATCGGAATATTATTGCATTAGTATTATTATAAGACTTGTACAAATTTAAGAAACACATAGCATATAAAATTCGTTGAAACGCGCGCGATGAGTAATTTTGGTATATATAATAGTAATTGTTGAAACGAGGTTTGATTTCAAGCCGATCATACTGTATTAAGTGTTCATCATACCTTGCTTACGAGTACCCATGATAATGAGTGTGATCATTTTATTTATGCACACATTTTGCATTCATAATATTGTGACGTTGTGAACTCTACCCTTAGAAAATCAAAAATATACCGTAGTTGCACCAAATAAGGTTAAGCATTTGTTTAAATAGATGCCGATTATTGTTGATCTTGGCTAATTTGGTTCAAGAAAAAATTTTGAATTTTTGGAAAAAATAATATATATTCTTTTTTATGATGAAACGCATTTTTATATCACCACGTTCTTACATACAATTTGGTATTTTTTACACCACCTCTTCCACACTAGAACATTCTACACGATTTGGTAAATTTAGCAAAACAGCTTGTGAAAATAAAGATTTGTCCACTATGATACCCCAAAATATTAGTAAAGATACCAAGAAAAATTCCAATGAATGTGTTAACAAATTTATAAATGAACCTGTAAATCCAAATGCAAATATTATAAACATTTTAGCAGGTTGTAGAAAATTTCAATTGGAAATGTTATTAATGATTTTAATAATGATGATTGATAATAATTATTAATTGATATTTTTTTAAAACTATAAATTTTATAGAAATAGGAAAAAAAAGACGCGATGAAGGTGAAACTCATAAAGTGAATGCTTATAAAAAAGCAATAAAGGCTATTTCTGAACATCCTACAAAAATTACTTCTGGTAAAGAAGCAATGAAAATCAAGGGTATTGGTGTTCGTATTGCATCAAAAATTGACGAGATACTACTTACGGTTAGTTTATTTATTATTTAATTATGCTTATTATTATTATTTCCTTTCTTTTTTTTATATGATTCATAATTTTTGATTGTTAAATTTAAGTCTTAAACAATACAATAAGGGTACATGTTCAACTTTAACCGAAAAAGGCGGATTTGAAGAAAAATTGGTAGAATCTTTTACAAAAATACCTAAAATTGGGTATATTTATATATTTAATTAAAATTATTCAATATAATAATTGTGTACTTGATGTTAATAATAATAACCTATTTTTTACTCAAGATGGGTAGGAGCAAGAAAATATTATGAGAAAGGCTATAGATCTTTAGAAGATGTATTAGCCAATGAAAAATTATCACCATTACAAAAATTGGTAATAAAATATTTTAATGACTTTGAAAATCCATTTCAAAGATGGGAAATGGATTTATTACAGGTAATTAATTAAATTTTTCTCAAAAGAAATTCAAATAATTTGTGAAAAAATTTTAATATGCAAGTTTTTTTTAGAAAAATATTATTTCAGAATTGAAATCTATAGATTCAGGATTCATTGCTGAACCATATGGTTGTTAGTATGTATGACGATGATTATAATTTACAATTTATATATTTATTTATATATTGAATCACACAATTAAATCACGAATTATACTATGTGTATATGATAGTCGTCTTGGGCTTGAAAATTGTCAAAAGTTAGAAATAGCAATTACACACAAAGCATTTGATTCTACCACAATCAAACCAAATGAAATCAAAGATATAAGTGATAAGGCTTTTAACCGTTTTGTTAATCATTTGACATCAAAGAAAATATGCAGTGATCATTTGATTTTAGAAAATGATGACGGTGCAAATTATATGGTAACAAATAGCCAATCATCTCTATATATAATATTATCAAAGACAAATTTTAATTTTTCTTTCTACTATTTAGCTTGTTTGTCGACTTCCAGAAGTATATCAAAAGGATTTAATATGTTATTATCGAAAAGTTATTTTACAGTAAGTTTTATAAAATTTTCTTTTTAAAAATATATATATGCTTTTATAATAATAATTTTATTATTATTATTATTATTATTATTAGAATTATCCCACATGATAAATTTTGGCTTAAAATAAATAGTAATAATAATAATAATAATAATAATAATAATAACAATAATAACAACAACAACAATAATAACAACAATGATGATAATAATAATTTGATAAAATAAAAATTATGAAAAAAATCTAAAATTCAGATGCCCATCCTAGCATAACTTTCATGAATCACACTGTGCCCAATGATGTGACTCTCACTGTTATAAGAAAAAGAATTCTAAAAAGTAAAAAAGCAGTCAAAAAAATTTAAATATGGTGCACGTCATCTAAAGATGACACTGAAATTGACAATCTTTGAGAGCTAATAACTTCCAAATTAGGAGTTTTAGAGAAAAGGCAAACCAATAGAACTGAAGCTAGTTTTATTCTATCAGTTTAAATTTTTTCATTATCATAAAATTTTGTAGAGTTATTGAGGTTCAAAGTTGGGGCATTTTTATGTCTATATTAATATTATGTAAATTTCGGGACTTACTTTCAATCATTCTGATTGGCCGATACAATCGCGTGATAAATTTTCAAAAGCGATTTTAAAGAAATTATAGTTAATCAAATAAATTTGTAAACTTAAACATTAAACTCCGATATATTTTTTATGGCCAGAAAATCTTTATAATGAGTCGTGTTTCTAAAAGAAAATCAACTTACAGAAATCAAGAGAGAACTTCTAATGGTTTGTTTGGTGAAGAAATTGATACTGACATTGATAAATTGAATGAAAACGTAAATGAAAATATACCTTTAAATTTAAATGATATAGAAGGAGAATCATGTAAGAAAAACAAAACAAACCTATATTGGTTAGAATTTTAGGTTCTTTCGTTTTATCCGTTTATCGTTTTATCCGTTTTATTCAAAATAGTAATTTTACATATCACGGAAAATCAATAAATAAATCAAAAAACTCATCAAGAATTCAAACCAGTCAATTTCATATTGTTATTTAATCACTGTGATAAACCGATAAAATAATTGACTCGCGGAAAATATCTCAAACAACGGAGAAATAAATATCCCAACATTCTAAAGTGTAACATCTTTTCTCAGATTGAATTTAAACAGCGGAATTTAAATTATTTGATTCATACCAAAAATAACTTGAAGACAATTATACATGGAGGGTTCAAATAATGATTTAATTAGGAATCCAAAGAAATCGGAGAATTAGATGATAGAACCTTTAACGTGTATAAATAACGTTGTAATTTTCTCAACTTCATGTATCGTCTTTATCATAAAATCAGTATAATCAACATAGTAATCATAATAAATAACAGTGTCCTTAACACTGTCCTTGTCCTTGTTCTTGTTCAATTTTATAATAATTGCGTTTAGTTGTACATCTCAGGTTAAACAAGTTTTTGTGCGCAGTCACGCGACTTTTTCTATTAGTCGCGGGACATTGCAGATCAAGTGTCATTCAATATAAACGTTACACAAATAAAATTATTATCGTCCACTTCAAAAAAAAAAAATCTCCGTTTTTCATATAGCAAGCGATTTTTAACCCATAATAAATTTTTTAGAGCCAGACTGGGGCTTTTAACAATAGTTAAAAGAAAAGACTAGCTTAAATATTGGTTATTCTACGCCAGGTCAAAAGCGTTTCTTTTCTTCACACTTATTTTAAGATTATCGCTCAACCAGTATGCAGACTAAAGCAAATTCAGCAGCAACAGTTGTGCCAAAGTGTTCCCTACAAAGTCGCTTATAACTACTTGGAAGGTTGTGTTAGAAAAATTTTGCTTTTAATTATAAGGGACTGATTTATAAGGTTATTAATTTATTTAGAATTTTAAAATTACATGGTCAAAATTTCAAAATAATAATAATAATAATAATAATAGTTAATTTATTGTTTGATAATTATGAATACAAAGAATTGGAGAAATAATAATTAACAATAAAGAAATTTATTTATTAATAGACCTTTGGCATAGTACATCAAGCAAGGTTTGAATATTTCGGAATAAAGTTCTAAAGGGTTGTGGTGGTAGTGATGGTAGTGATGGTGGTAGTGGTGGTAATGATGGTGGTGGTAGTGGCAATAATCATAATGCCATGGATACAAGTTGATAATAAAAAAAATAAAATTATTATTATTATAACTTGCCCAATATAAATATATTTTGTTAATATTTAACTTATTCCAAATGATCTGATAATTAAATTCATTTCTATTTTCTAAAAATAAATAATTAATATAAAAAAAATTTGATCGCGTAACAGATTAAAGATGTTAGCCGAAATTGATTTTTTCAAAAACCATTTCGGCAGGCAATTTCGGATTTACAATATTTTTCATAACAATAGACATAAATAAACTACCCAGAATTTCGGCTATTGGGCTAAAGTGTTCAAATAACTTCAAATATAATTTCGGCAATTAATAAAATTAATTTCGGCGACTATGAAAAACTATTTCAGCATTTCGGATTCGGTGACGATCATTTATTAAGAGAGCCAATTTCGGCTAACATCTTTATAACAGATTGTACACTGTCAGATCGTCAGATCGTTCAACCTTTGCAACCTTTGGAAAAAGAAATAAATATATTAATATAATCACACATACCTTTTAATAATA